GACTTGATACATTCTCAAACGTTTCGCCGGCATCGTAGTCGGCATCATCAATGAGCTTTGCCATTCTCCGAAGCAAGTCTCTTGGACATGTCTCTTTGATGAGTTCGTATCTTGGTACAGAGATTGGCAAAACTGATTGATGATGCCGACTTCGATGCCGGCGAAACGTTTTAGAATGTATCAAGTCCACTGTCTGATGCTGGGAATCATGACAACTACTCTGGCAGACGACTTCGGACTAAGTGCGTTTTACATAATCTCCCTGACCACAAGACCAAGTTGCGACAACGAGGTCAACCCACTTCTAGCTTTTCTTTGTCCATCAGATACCGACAGGCCAACGACTGATGAAAATCCACTCTCAAGTGGAATTCATAGTTGGCTTATTTATCACAAATAAACTCTTTCACTTGCATTCTTCTTGCATCTGTATCAGTTGTCATGCTAACTAGCGCAACGTGGAAGAGTAAAGAAAAACAAATGTCTTGGGTTGGTAGTTTGCGAGTGTTTTAAATCGTAGACGCCAACTTACTTTTCCCAAGTCAAGGGCCTGATTAAGGATCATCACAATGCCTCGATACTCGTTGTCCACCCACATGGGACTGGAAGTGATCACACTCAGTGGTCTACCGCCAAACGCCGATTGGTAGGTGTCGTCCAAAGGACCAGCAAAGGCAGAGTTTGTTTGGGCCAATTCCTTCGCTTTCAATCTCATCACATCCTCATTTGTCAGCCGTCCAGCCTCGCCTGACTGCGGGTCAGCGCTCGGTGTGATTCGGCTTCGCCAATTTGTTCCAGTGGCTCTTGCCTCCGGCTCGTCAGTTTCCATCAGCTGCTCTCTGTTGGGTTTCGGACCCTCTTCAGATGACTCCGGCAAGCGGAGCCGATCCAGTCGATCCAGGGCGATGGAATAGCCCAGATTGAAGCCGCGATGTGCCAAGTCTGTCGGCGAGCTCTTTAGCCGGAACCCACTGACCTGCCGTTTGCCGAGATAGTGCCCGAGGAAAACATTTCCTTCGGTCAGATAACTTCCCGGCATCCCGAGGGCCACAAAGACTTCACCGAATCGTTTGCCTGACCACAAAGTTACACAAATGCACAAGCGGAGGGGAAAATTAGGTAAAAAGGAATGGACGTACAGCAAAAAAAACATACCAACCTGGCGCTGGTAACCTTTGGCTCTCCATTTTCGCTATCATAATCAACAAATAAAATTGCATTATGGGTTTCGAGGAATTACTTGTTTCATAGTTGTTTCGTCATATGACGAACGCTTACCACCTTTTCACCGGAATCGAAGCAGATTACCTCGGAAACAGCTTCCCCATGATTGATCTAGCAAAGCCAATCGACAGCCGGTCAAGAGGAATCCGCCATCGTCTTCTGGTGGAATCGACCTTCGAATCTCTTCATCAAACACTTTCACTCGAAATGAAATTAAAGTGTTGAAGAGAAGCTTGGAAAGATCCTCAATTTAAAAAAATTAAACCATCAATCACTAAAAATTCCTGAAACTTCTGGTTGGCGCTGCCCCAGAGACAGTCATCTTCAGTATCATTGAAAAGCAGGCGTAGGTACTCACTTTCCACCCACATAGGACCCAAAGTTATCACACTCAGTAGTCTACCACTATATATAAATAAATAAATATATATATATATGAATTTGTATGAGGTCAGGAGTGATTCGATTATGTACGTCACGTACACACGAATGGGAATGCTTCAAAATTGACATATGTCATGAACTAATCAAATCATTATATACCCCATAAAAGTTTTCCGATTTAAAGATAAGCCGGTGGGCTTTATTGACTAGCAAGTGTGAATTTGTCTTAAGAATGATATCCTTCTTTGATAGTACCTGCCAAGTGACACGGAGAACGAATGTTCAGCACATTTTAATCGCAACAAAAGGAAGGTTTATTGAAGACGCCACTACAAGAAGAGTTTTAGTAAAGCCAAACAACAACTGTCGTCTCCTGAAAGGATTAATCTTCATATCTCCTTATCAGAAGCTTTCACAAAGGCTAGAAAGATTCAATAATTTAAGACTAAGAGACTACTTTAAAATCAATTTTTTTTACTTTCCTTCTAAATGCAGAGTAGAACGAGTGATCTCAGCTGTGTCAAACCATCAATGATCAACAATTAAGACATTGATAGCTTCGCAATATGGCTACTCCACAAAAGAGAGGGAATTATGAATAAATATATTCCAACTGAGTATGTTTCTAGCCCTTCAGTAAGTCATGAATAATAACTTATTTAAGTTTAAATGCCTCATCAGCACTCAAAGCTGATTCGAATCAGAGTATTGAGCAACGTGACGAAACTCCACCAATCCATTAAAAACTAAGTTCCTATTCAAGAATTAATGATAGTTGCAAAGCATACTTATACCAAAAATAAGTAGCGTATTAAGGTGTTATAACAACTATAGGTCTACCTTTTCAAAAATCCGATTACAAAAGTGATTTGGGAGAGGCCTGGCTTAGCTTGAAAATCACAACAGTCCTGTGGCACATCGGCACTCGTCACTCTGTGGCGGATCAGACTTTCAACTGTTTTCAACTGTTGAGCTTACTTCCATTTCAAGGTAAAGTGTTCGATGAAGAAATTCAAGGGTCAATCCAACCAGAAGATGATGACATTCTCCTTCACTTCCGGTGAAAATGTGATCAGCTTTCGTCTTGTTGCTAGGATAGACGCATTAAATGGTTTCGAATCTCGATGGGGTGCTGATGAGCTTGGGTTCCAGACATGATGATAAGACCTTTTAGGATGTGAAGCCTAGTGAACTTCAAGGCCTGCTCTTAATGGGGAAAACTTCATAGTCAGCCCCTAATTCCTCTTAAACAGCCCAATGTAACTGATTTCTTTCTCAACAGTTGCCGATAGTCTAAAATGAGGCAAAACTAGTTTTTTTTTAGAAGAATCTTGGCTCACAAGTGTTGAGTTCACTTCTATTTCGAGTGAAAGTGTCTGGTGAGGAGGTATGAGGGTCGAGCCTACCAGAAGACGACAGCCAGTTGTCATTTGTTCCGATGAAAATGTGCTGAGTTTTCGTCTGTCATGCCACTTCACGTGTCTCATCAGAGCAGGGTATCATTTGTAAGACTAATTAAACTTAGCGAGTCAAGAAGACTCGCCAACTTATCTCTACATGCAGATTACATACTGCATATGAGATGTGTTCACCCTAGTTCGTTTTCCCACATTCATATGAGTAGAGCTGACGTTTCCATTAGATTTCACAAAACCTGGCTTTTCCAAAAGATAGACTCATCCAGGGTGGACTGTAGTTTCGACTTCGTCTAGATCTCATCAACACCCCCGGCGGGAGTCGAACCATGATATTTCAGCGTGTAATGTCGTCGGTTGCTATAGCAAATATAAGTTTGCTTCATCGACAATTCCAACACATAAGGTGATGTGAAAAATGGCTGACATTCCTTGAAGTTCACATCTGCCCTGTGAACCAGGGGCATTCGTGGCAATGTGGCTGACTGGTTAACGTGTCAGGCTCACATGCTGCCCTGTCATGGTTCGAATCCCGTTTTGGGTGGTGATAATACCTATGCTAGGTCGAAACTGCAGTCCACTGGTGCCTGGATGAGAACACCATTTAGGAAAGTAAGGTTATGTTACATTTATGAGCTGTATTCACCTAATTTCGTTTAAGGTGATGAAGGACTGGTAGAAGAAAAATATTCCCGCAATGATATAAATTGAGCTGACCTTTCCATTGAATTTCACATAGCCCTGCTTTCCCAAAAGTCGTTCTCATCTAGGCACCAGTGGACTGCAATTGCGACCTCGCATCGGTCTTATCAACACCCTCAGCGGGAGTCGAACCAAGATAGTTCAGGATGGGAGCTTGAAACGCCAACTATTCGGCTACAATGCCACGAGTGTGTTTGGGTCAGAGGGCAAATGTGAATTTTCAAGGAAGGCCAGGCCTTGTTGCCATATCATATTCTTTTGGTAGAATTGTCGATGAAGCAAACGTATATCTGCTATAACAATCGACTAATATACTTTATTTCTCGTGACTAACAGTAAATCAGTCAGCTCAACTCATAGCATTGTGGGAAAATTCCTCTTCTACCAGTCCTTAATCACCTTAAACGAAAATGGGTGAATACATCTCATACTACTGATTTACTGGTAGTCCCGAAAACAATACTTAATTCGAAAAATATGTTAAATTTAATGGAAATGTCAGCTCTGCTCATATAATTGTTGGGAAAATTCAACTACTAGTCCTTCGTCATCTTAAACGAAATAGGGTGAACA